TTGTTACCACAGTAACGAAATCAAGGCAAACTGTATTATTAAACAGCGATCGGAAAAATGAAAAAGAGGGATCGGTAAATCTTTTACCGATTCCTAACGTCTACTTTCCGGTCTTGATTGGCAAAACATTACTTTCTGGTCAAAAAATTGTTCACAAAGTATATACATCCTGGTCGGTCTTAAAAAAAGGTACTTTACTCTTCAGAAAAATTCCTATTTTTTGACAAATTTTGTATACGGCTTAAAATGGCATCTGATGGTTGCATTTTAACTTTTTAACCATGTAGAACTTTTTATAAGGAATTACTTTTTTTCGTAAAACTAAAAATAAAAAAGTTTCCCATATGGTTCCGACTTAATTGGTACATATATTTTTTTAACAAGTCATTAAACATCATATGTTATTGTTTATTATTTTTGTTGATTAGAAAATGTTTGTTAGTGCAGCAATAAATAAATCCCCGATGGTTTCGGATTTTAGGCGCTTCATTATCATCAAGGTTCGTCGTTTTTCCGTGAAATTAAAGTCGGTCAAGAGTGTAAAAACAAACAAAACTAGCCACTAGTTTATCCTCAATTTTACAATAATCTTTTTCTTCTATAAGTACGATGATGTCGCGTTTTTATAAACGTGGGTACAAACAAAATAATAAAAGCAAAAGTTTAATAAACTTTTAGAAGGTTTCTTTCAAATAAGTAGTTGTAATTAGACTTATAGTAGCCATATTTATTTTAATAGGTTATTCGAAACTTTATAATTTACATAATTCTATGTTTTATTAATATTTAATGTATAAATAAATACATGTGTTGCATTAAGGCGATATCCGCACTTAATGAATATACAAATTATGGATAGGGGTATAAAAGGAAATTAAAATTTAAGGCATATTCCACATGTTTGGTACCATTTTATTCGAAAAATTGTATGTACTTTTCCAAGCCGCAAATAAGGCATCATCGATGTCTTTTCTCTTGAACCTTGATTTTCGAAAGTAAGGAGTAAAATTAGGATTGTACGGAGGATGTCCAAGCAAAGCAAAGATGATTTCTTGTAAATGCTAAAGCCTCAGTTAGTCAAAGATTTAATGTCTTCTTATTATCAAATTGAAACCAAAACTATACCTTAAATTTTCTTGGTGTTTTTAATTTTTTATGTTGAAAATTAATCGTGTGTTTCCTTGCAGATTATGGTGATGGAGTTTCTGGCAGAACAAAAACTTAAAAGTAAGTTTCTTATATTATTTTTAACGTTTTATACATTTGTAATTTCTATTGGATGCTAATGAGCAGTATTTTAATTCTGTGACTATAGTTGATTGTTGTATGTTTTTAAGTTTATAAAAAAAAATCTCGAATTATAAAAAATCCCCAGGCTAGAATATCCTTTATTTTCGCATTTAAGCTCCATTGACCCAATCCGGCCCTGAGGCGTCGCCTTTCGAACAATAGTTATTTTATTAATGGTAGTAGAAAAATACGTCTCGCCGGATGTAAGGAAGACGCGAGATATTTATATCCGATAGAAAAAGACGAACCGATTGAAAGGTTAGCGGAAAAAAGACAAAAAATATGATAGTGTGTAATCAGACATCCACTGGATGGAATTACGTATAAGGAATATTTAATAATATTGGAGGACGTTGTAATTTTCTTCTAAAATTACACGTGACCATTACTATGGGCAATGGAAGTCTCTAGAAAAAATAAAAGGTCGCACTTAAAAAAGATTTTCGAAAAAAAAAATTTTTTAATTTTAATTTCGATGAACTATAAAGGTAATGACAATATTATTACAATGTTAAGTAAATCTTTGGGACTGCCCTGGTGTTGAAAATTTAAATATTGGCAGAGCTTTTCCCAATCTTTTCTTAGGGCGTAAAATATTCTAAACACATGTACTTATTCTATGAATTGTGTCTGAAGATGTTTTTTTCTGGCTCTTTAGGCATTTAGAAGTTCTTTAGAAATTTTCTCCAAACTTCTTAATTGTTTTTTTAGATTCCCTGTAATTATTTTTTATTTTATTGAATTTAGAAATGAATAATTAAAATAGTATGTGCACTCTGACATAATAAGACGAGTGAATTTTGTAATAGTTTTAATAGTTTCGTTATAACTTTTTCCAGCTTTTCTTTTTTCTAAATTTTTAGATTTTTCTCAAAACTTTTTAATTTTCAGTTTTCTGTATTTATTTTTTATTTTATTACAGCTGAAAATTTTAGATTTTAGAAATTTTCTCTAAAATTTCTGAATGTTTTTCTGATTTTTTGTATTTTTTTATTATTCGAAATATTTCACTTTATGGAATGTGTTGATGATTTTTCTTGTCTTTTATGTTTTAGGAGGTTTATAAAAAATTTCTCCAAACTTTCTTAATATTTTTTTAGATTCTCTGTATATTTTTTATTTTATTGAATTTTGAAATTACTAATTAAAATGGTATGTGCACTTTGACATAATAAGACAAGTATTTTTTTTTTACTTTTGTAAATTTCAATAGTTTCGTTAGAACTTCTGATTTTCTTATTTTCTTATGGCGAAACATATTCTAGAAGTATTTATTTTAGGAAATATTTTTAGTGTTTTTTATTATTTGGTGTATGAAGCTTTACTTAGGGAGAAAAATGTATGTACTTATTCTATGCATTGTGCCTGGTGATGTTTTTTCTTGTTTTATGGAATTTTAGGAGTTTTTTTAGAAATTTTCTCCAAACTTTCCTTTTTTTATGGTAATTCACTTTATGGATTTTGCTTGGATATTTTCTCACCATTATAGTTTATATATAACTTTTTCTAGCTTTTCTTATGGCCAAATATATTCTAAATTTCTAGATTTTTTCTTCCAACTTTTTATTTTTTTATTATCTGTATTTATTTTTTATTTTAATAGAGGAGCTGAACATTTTTAGATATTAGAAATTTTTTGTATATTTTTATTATTCGAAATATTTCAGTTCACTTTATGGAATTTGTTGATGAATTTTCTTGTTTTTCATATTTTAGGATATTAAAATTTTTCTCCAAACTTTTTATTTTTCGATTATCTGTATTTATTTTTATTTTAGATTTTAGAATTTTTTGATTTTTTTTATTATTCGAAATATTTCAATTCACTTTATGGAAGTTGATGATTTTTCTTGTCTTTCATGTTTTAGGAGGTTTTTCAAAATTTTCTCCAAACTTTCTTAATATTTTTTTTAGATTTTCTGTATTTGTTTTTTATTTTATTGAATTTAGAAATTAGTAATTAAAATATAACGTGCTCATAATATTTTAGGAGATTTTTAAAAATTTTCTCCAAACTTTCTTAATTTTTTTAGATTCTCTATATTTTTAGTTTAGTGAATTTAAAAATTAATAACTAAAATGGTATGTACACTTTGACATATTAAGACAAGTGATTTTTTAAATAGTTTTAATAGTTTCCTTATAACTTTCTTCAGCTTTTGTTATGGCCTAACATATTCTAAATTTCTAGATTTTTTCTCCAAACTTTTTATTTTTCGGTTAGCTGAATTTATTTTTTATTTTAATAGAGCTGAGATTTTAGAAATTTGTATGTTTTTATTATTCGAAATATTTCAATTTACTTTATGGAATGTGTTAATGAGTTTTCTTGTCTTTCATGTTTTAGGAGGTTTTTAAAAATGTTTTCCAAACTTTCCTATTTTATTTTTTTTATTGGAAATATGGTAATTGACTCTACGGATTCTGCTTGGAGATAATACTTTATTTTACTGACACCCTCGTTGTCTTTTAGGATATCGTCGATCTAAAGCACACTCCAAATTTAATGTCTTCTTTATTGGGCACAAATATTGTAGCTCCAACATGGCTCCAACACCCACCAAACTACAATACATTTAAATTAAAACTGAGAATTAAGGCATTTAATTACATTTTCTAGAAGTTTAAATTTGCGATTGTCCAAAAATGCGTTTTTGGATAAACAATAAGTGTGCTTTAGACCGACGATATAATAGTTTTTATTTAGAGATTTCCTCCACAATTTCTTAATTTAATTTTTAGATTTGATTTGATCTGATCTTAGTTATGAAAGATTCACATGTTCTACTGTTTGTAATAATGATTTTTGTTTTTTTAAGAATTGAAACAAAGAATTAAATTATGTACAAAAGTTATACTAGAATATTAAAATTGATAAAATTAATTAAAAAAGCTAGAAAACAAAAACTAGAAAGATTGAAAGTAATTTATGCAAGGTATCATTTTATATACCCATAGTAGGTACTTCTTAAATCCTTACTAATACTTCTTAAATGAAGTTAGTTGTACAAATTTTTCTTATAGCCGATAAACAAATATTCCTCTTAATCCGACCCTGCATTTGATTGATCGAAAGAAAGGAAGTCAGTGCAATTCTTTGGGCCCATTCTGAACTTCCTCTCATACGTGCTGTACGTATCGCTAGGTGATACATCTTTCTTTTTAATAAATTAATTAAGGATAAAAATAGAAAATATACAACTAATTATTTTTAAAAATATATTTTCGAAATATTTTTATTTAAACTAATAATGGAATCCTAGAAAACATTCGGTAGGCGTCGATGATCTACTAATGAAGGTATTTATTTGAAAATTCGTTATTTATTTGACTTTTGACATTTCGCCTCCAGTACACAATTATTATTAATGAAAGGTGACAAAATAAAGTAAAGTTTTTAACTAAACAAGAAAATAACAAATTTTATATGATACCGATTAGAAAAAAAAAGATAGAGTATATATCAGAAGAAGAAAAAAGAATAATAATCATTGTCATATTTACAGGAAGTCTCTAAAAATGAGGCAATCTTTCTATTAAGAAGGGTAGTAGAATAAATGGCTGCCACTCCACTCTTTAGAGTATAAGGTTCAGATAATAAGAAAAAGAAGACCAATTTAAATTAGATTATTGAATACTCTTAACAATACTCGATAACAATATCACCACTGACAGAAAATTATATGATAAATGAATATTAATTTACTTACAAAATTGATCTTATCATTTTCCGCATAGGCCTTGGCAATATTGACTTCTGTTAAGCAGTTTCTCAGCCATTTTGCAGTAGTCGCTTTCCTAGGGGGGTTCATCGTTGATGGTGCTGAATGCGTTGTAGGTAGGACAGTTAACATAAGATAAACTATAACTAAAAGGACGTTTTTGAGACCTGAAACAAATAGAAAAAAAATCATTAGACCAGTTAAAATAACGCAAAATATTTTTATGTATTACACTGGATCAAAGTAGCTTTCACGTTTGTTGCCCTCGTCAATCGGCTCCCATGCGCGTATAAAAATGCCACATTTGTATTTAACTAGACAGATCCATCATTTTGGGATAATTTCTTCCTTCAACAGGAGCAATCATAAAATTATAGTATTAAAGCATATTCCTTATACCTTCTACCCAACTGATTAGACTTGTTATCCTTGCTACTATTCAGAATAGCTGGATAAGAGGTTTCTTAGTTTGAATCAAAATATACAAGAAAACTTCGTCTGAGACATTACTATAAAAATTGCTTATTTATTTTATTCACATATAAGAAAATGTACTGGCCCTAAGTTTGAACCTTGAGGTACACCCGCTGTATTCTACCAGTTAGAAAAGGATTCAATAATATTAACCATATCATCAGATAATCCAAAGTTCAACATTCTATTCAACATTTGGGAATTCAAGATAAATTATTATAAAAATTTGTTTGTACATGATTATTTTCCAGAATATTATAGCGGAAACAAATTTTAATTCCTATTCTTGTTTAGACAATTGATGATTTCTATTATATCAGTGAAAATGATTACAATAAAATTTAATTTAAAAAATTTACAAAAAAAAAACTTACCGATTGTTAATGAAATAGGTTCAATTAACACAAATGGCAAAAATTTTGATATGTAACGAACCATTCTTCATCTACAAATCATCTGATGGAAGATTAAGTCTGTTGGGGGTATTTATTCATTGTTAAGGTCATAGGTGCATGATTAAAGAATGTTTTGAAAATTTACTATCATGAATATCTGCCGACTATTTCCTCGAAGTTATTTATTATTTAAGAGTGTTACTAAGATTTTATTATAAAATAATAATAATAACAATATTAATTTATAAAGAAGAAGGATCACTGACTCTTATTATATTTTGTAAAAGTAAAGCATGCTCCTGGTATTGCATCATATTTATTTATTTGCGATTACTACATATATTATTCAATTTTATATTTTATCTTATTAGGTGTAAACACATCTGTTACCAAATGTCCATACAGTAGACTGAAAAAATGCAACATACAATACAAATTGTTTTTTGATTGCAAATTTCTAGGCCTATTACATTAACCTGATCTATATGCAGGAAATGAGTTCAAAATACAAAGATAATATCAATGTAAACAAATCAAATGTTATAGAGGTCAGTAATCAATATTTGTGAGTAACTCCTTCCCCCCGTAAAGTGTGTTTTGGTTTTTGTTATTAATTTTGGTTTCACTCTACTTTTTTCTCTTATTCGCGCGCCTCTCTAAAACCTCATAATTATTAATAAAACTGTTAGTGTAGATACAGTGTAGTTCAAACCGAGCTAATTGGGGTTCCCATAGTAGCAAAAGATATCACCAGAAATATTAGAACTGGAAGGAACATGCTCATCTATACAGATAGTGGACAAGCACTACTCTCCTTAGACAGAGCACGAGTTTACTGAGGGTTAGTACTAGAATGTCACGAAGCTTTAGCCGAAGTATCTATCAAGAATATGGTCAACCATCTTGCTGATTCACTAGCCAAGAAGAAGGCCAACCAAACACTTTTTGGACCAGGCCCTTCTATTGGACTGACAACAACGGTAGTGACAAACCTAATTAAAAAACATTCCCTTGTGAAATTCAAGGAATGATTGGATGAAATAAGAAGCTAAAGACTTGCCAGGTAGCTTTTAAGTTATCATAACAACACTATCACTATGACTAGACAGAATCCGCGTCTGATCAGAGGCATTCTGACCGGTCATTCCTAAGTAAGAAAGCATCTTCATATCATCGGAATATCAGAAGCCTCATTCTGCAGAAGATGAGAACAAAAAAATGAGACCATCAAGCAAATCCTCTTGAATTGGCTAACAGCGGAGGATATGAGAAGCACCTCTTGGCGCAGTCAAATACATTAAATCTGTAGGCTGGCGATACAAAATGGGCATAGTGAACCCTAAGTGCCGTGATTAATCCACGTTCCACACGTTACAGATACAGAAGAAAGATATCGAATTAAAAAATCACAATGCGGGCCAGTGCATCATTATGTGAGCTGACCAGAAGATGCTTTTCAATTTATAAGAGGCACATCATAATGACAACAATAAAACAGTTGTTTATTTACTAGACGTCTGTAAACACAAGACAAGAATTAATTGCAATAATAAAGTAGACTACAGCAACAATTAGAAGAAAACCAATTTCTAGTTCTTTTGTTCATTATATTATGTACATCCTCCTAAATTACAGTGCCGCAACGCTACAAACGGATCATATTAGAGTGATAGCACAAGAGGTACGAAGGAAGTAAAAAAATAATAATAAAAATCCTCCTAAATTTAAAGGTTCTTTTGGCTAGTAAATGGACAAGACAGTTATCTTTGATAGTTACGTGGATCCATCTTAAGATGACCACTTTATTAGCACAGCGATATGGCTTAATTCTAACAAGCCGGAACCCACATTTTTACGTTAATTTATTAGAAAAAGATGGATACTATCGGTCATTTTACAAGTCCTAACCCGCACGATACATGTGTCAGGAGCTTGTTTTTTGCCTCTACTGTAAAATTTACTCTTTGTGAGTTACGAGGTGTTAGTATTAAGCCATCGATAGGTTTCTCTCTTGTTCATTTAATTTTGCCTGGTATACTCTACTTGATATAATTTAGTACTTTCGACGCCTTTAGAATGTCCTCTGTGACCTGGTACCTAGGTTAAAATTAGTACGTTTTGACTACAGTCCGATACAAGCTTTGAGTTTATTTGCGTGAAACTGAATGATTTTAAATTATACGAAAATAGTTTTCCTACTACCCTATGCAGTAAAATTATGCAAATATGAGTTTTCATCAGTTCGTCCAGGATAGAATGGTAGAAAGTGTGGTTAATAGTTAAAAGCTTGTGGTTGAACCAATTTTTTAAATTGAGAAAGATGGCTTTTGCTAGTATATTACCTGCATTCTTTAGATATAGTATTTAATTGATATATAGTTTAAACAGTAGTGGGCTCATGACTGTGACTTGAGGTATTCCATATTTATTTATTTTTTTTTTCATTGCTTAATTGTCTTTAATTTTATCATTGGTGTTTTATTGCTTAGATAACTACGTAGACAATTTCGATTATGCCTACCTCTTTGAGAGTTTCCAAAAGTAGAGTATGGACTAACTGTACTTAAGTCAATAAATATACAAAGACAAGGCTTTGCTTTCTCCAAAACAGTATGGATTTTACTTATTAAAAATAAAATATCATCATATGTTGAAGTTTTTGCTATAAATTCAAATTGTATTGGAGATAGCAATCCAAATTTATTGACAAACAATATCATTTTAATTTTAGTAGTTTTTCAAAGATTTTCAAAGATTTTTCAATTTCCACAAACTGCTGGTTACATTCATTAGCTTAGTACTTTCATTTCATATTTTATTGGACTAATATTGTTATTATTTGATCTATTTAAGTGACGGTTGTCAAATATATCGGATTGTAGTAAGTTACATTAGTTTAAAGTAATCCCTTCGTCAATAAATGGAAATGAACAATATTGATCTTATTTCAGCGGGTAAATGCAGGCACGACGAGAGGGGGGAGAGGAGGAGTAAAATCCCCGAGGCCCGGACACAAGAGGGGAGCCCGGTAGCTATAGCAGTTGAGACCTTTTTTAGAAGTTGGCAACAATAGGGAGGACCTGGTCACTAAGAAAGTACCTGATTTTGCTAAGGACCTTTTTTCCTTTTTTTTTTCTTTTAAAAACACAGAAAGGGCTTGATTTTTATAAAAATACCCTGCTTTTTTCCGCAAATCTACTAACCCTAATTATATAAGGGGTCCTTGCTAGTGTTTTGTCGCGGATCTCGCTAAGGCTCTACCAAAGAAAGAAAAATGTTTTCAAGAATTGATTTTCGTGGACGCAAAAATGCATTGACTAGACATAGGATGAACTTGCAAGAAATTATTCAATGCCTACGGCTTTCTAATTTGGACAACGCGTATATGGTACAAAAATATTTGCAACTATATGACTGGACTAGTAAAGATAGACCGAAATCCAAATCAGGAAACGGCAGCCATATTGTCAATTAGTTTTTTGTTTCCTTTTTTTTTTCGAAAATTGATTTCCAGCGTACGGTATATATCACCGAGATGGCGCGATAAAAATATTTCCTCGGGAAATTAGTACCGCTTTTATAGACTGTAATGTTATCCGACACAAAAATGCCACCGTTCGAGAGAACAGTCGTTTTTATAGAAAAAAAATCCGTACACCGTTTAACTGTAAGTTACTTAAACGGAGCAAAAAAGCCCTAATTAAATTAGCCATTAGAGCTTAGCTTTGACGAATAATTTTTATTTCATAAATTCTCCGGCCGTATAGGTACACCTGCAGTGCTGTGTGTGTCGAGTCTGTTTTTGCGCTGATTATAATTTTATAAAAATGCAGTAAATAGTTGAACGATACAACAATTAGAGTAATTATTGGCCATTTAGCGAATCCTAAAGTCGTTCTAAGCCAACAATAAAATAGATCAAGTTTCCTACACCTGGGATCTTTTATAATACTTTATATACTGTTTTTGTAAGAACGCATTAAACGACAATGTAATTTCAAAGGAATTCCGACTGTCATTACCTATGAGTGTAACTATGAATCTTAATCTTCGGACAGTTTCTCATTTGCTGCAATGATCTTTCCTTGTTGGGGTTTTGTTTTGATTTCTTTCTAACAGCTTTCTTTTTGTTTCGCATGCTTCAGTGGCGTAGCTGTAAACACGAGGGCTAGGGCCCAATTTGTGAAATTGTAATAATTTTCAGTGGAAATTTACATATTTTTCTCTTTAATTTGTTGTTTGTATTTTCATGAAATATTTCATAGGAAGAAAATTATCCAAATTAGTGAAGAAATTGA